TTTTTTTTTTTGAGATGGAGTTTCACTCTTTCGCCCAAGCTGGCATGCAGTGGTGCAGTCTTGGCTCACTGCACCCTCCGCCTTCTGGTTTCAAGCAATTCTGCTGCCTCAGCCTCCCAAGTAGCTGGGATTACAGGCACCCGCCACCACGCCCGGCTAATTTTTGTATTTTTAGTAGAGACGGGGTTTCACCACGTTGGCCAGGCTGGTCTCAAACTCCTGACCTCGTGATCTGCCCGCCTTGGCCTCCCAAAGTGCTGGGATTACAGGCGTGAGCCACCGCGCCCGGCCTGACTGTCTCCTCTTATAGCCCTGCCATATCCCCCACACCTGGATCGGGACGTGCCCGGAAGCAAATGGTCTAAAAGTATTTGTTGCATACATTGAAGGCAGCTCGCCGGGGTCTTGGTCGCCTTTGAGAGTCTGATGAAAGTCACGTTCCACAGGAAAATTCACAAGCCCACAAAAAAAATGTGTATCGAATTGCAGGGACAGGCTCACAGCTGTGATCCCAGCACTCTGGGAGGCCGGGGCGGGTGGATCACTTGAAGCCAGGAGTTTGAGACCAGCCTGAGCTACATGGGGAAACCTCGTCTCTACTAAAAATATAAACATTAGCCAGCTATGGTGGCGCACGCCTGTTATCCCAGCTACGTGGGAGGCTGAGGTAGGAGAATTGCTTGAACCCGGGAGGTGGAGGATGCAGTGAGCCGAGACAGCGCCATTGCACTTCAGCCTGGGCAACAGAGGGAGACCCTGTCTCAAAAACAAACAAAGTTGCAGGGGTGAATGGCGACGGACCCTCCCCCTGGCACCGCTCCTATTCTGCTATTGAACAACAGAGCTTATTCCTTCTAATTGTACGTTGGTACCATTCACCAACCTCTCTCTCTTTTCTTTTTTTGAGACGGGAGTCTCGCTCTGTAGCCCATGCCATGCTGGAGTACAGTGGCTCAATCTGGGACCACTGAAACCTCCAAGTCCCGAGTCCCGGTTTAAGTGATTCTCCTGCCTCTGCCTCCTGAGTAGCTGGGATTACAGGCGCCCGCCACCATGCCCAGCTCCTTTTTGTATTTTTAGTAGAGATGGGGCTTCACCATATTGACCAGTCTGCTCTCGAACTCCTGACCCGCTGATCCGCCCGCCTCAGCCTCCCAAAGTGCCAGGATCACAGGTGTGAGCCACTGTGCCCGACCTTAACTCTCTCTTTTTTAAATTTTATTTTTCACACATGGTCTCACTCTGGTGTCCATGCTGGAGTGCAGTGGTGCAATCACGTCTCACTGCAGCCTTGACCTCCTGCACCCAAGTCTAGACAGCTTGGAGTCCCTGCCCTGCCCGTGACTCTCTGAGCCTTTGAGAATCCAGAGATGGAAAGCCAGGGGGGCGAGCCGGGCGGAGCGTCCAGCAGGTGCCAGAGAGACCCCGCACTTTACCTTCCCACTCCAGTTCATTGCCATTGCCCAGGAACTCCAGGGAGTCGGTCTCATCCGGGGTCTCCATGTCATCCACATTAATATCCAGGTCATCGGGGGTATCCAAGAAGTCATCGGACAGCAGGGACCCCTCGCTCTGATCCAGGGAAATGTTGATCTCTGGCGCCAGCAGCGTCTTCCTCTTTCGATGCGCTCCGTTGAAGTTTAGCGTGCTGGGAGGCGCTGCAGGGAAACGGGAAAAGCGGAGACAATCCTTGCTTTCTCTCTTTTACCTCCTCCCCAGTTTCCAACCTGGTGGAAGCTGTTTTATTGCACAGGAAGAGGGAGGAGGGGGTAGGCCATCGTCTGGGGCTGGTGAGCAGACATCAGTGCCTGACAGCGGCGAATGTTATAACCGCTGTCCTGTGGGTGGGGGCGGGGCACCTGCCTCAGAGATTAGGGCTGGATGCTTGGACAGTGGGCAGACCTGGGTTCAAAGCTTGACTTTGAGTTGGGTGCGGTGGCTCAGGCCTGTCATCCCAGCACTTTGGGAGGCCGAAGCTGGCAGATCACCTGAGGTCAGGAGTTTGAGACCAGCCTGGCCAACTGGAGAAACCCCGTCTCTACTAAAAATACAAAAATGACCCGGGTGTGGTGGCGGGCGCCTGTAATCCCAGCTAGGCAGGAGAATCTCTTGAACCCGGGGGGCAGAGGTCGCAGTGAGCAGAAATCCAGCCACTGTACTCCAGCCTGGGCAACAAGAGCAAAACTCTGGCCGGGCCCGGTGGCTTATGCCTGTAATCCCAGTACTTTGGGAGGCTTAGGCAGGGGGATCACGAGGTCAGGAGTTCGAGACCAGCCAGACCCATGTGGTGAAACCCTGTCTCTACTAAAAATACAAAAATTAGCCAGGTATGGTGGTGGGCACCTGTAATCCCAGCTACTCGGGAGGCTGAGGCAGGAGAATGGCTTGAACCTGGGAAGTGGAGGTTGCAGTGAGCTGAGATCGCGCCAATGCACTCCAGCCTGGGCTACGGAGCAAGATTCCGTCTAAAAAAAAGCAAAACTCCATCTCAAAACATAAATAAGGCCGGGCGCGGTGGCTCAAGCCTGTAATCCCAGCACTTTGGGAGGCCGAGGCGGGTGGATCACGAGGTCAAGATATCAAGACCATCCTGGTCAACATGGTGAAACCCCGTCTCTACTAAAAATACAAAAAATTAGCTGGGCATGGTGGTGCGTGCCTGTAATCCCAGCTACTCAGGAGGCTGAGGCAGGAGAACTGCCTGAACCCAGGAGGCGGAGGTTGCGGTGAGCCGAGATCGCGCCATTGCACTCCAGCCTGGGTAACAAGAGCGAAACTCCGTCTCAAAAAAAAAAAAATAAAAATAAAAAATAAATAAATAAATAAATAAATAAATACATAAGCGAGAAGAGGCACATCTCTTGTGCAGACAAATTGCGAAGCCTCTTCCAGGCTCTCTCTGACTCTCCCCCTCCTGTCTCCACTCGTGAGGATCCTGTGAGGACATCAGGCCACCTGGAGAATGTAGGATCCGGGATCGTCTCCTATTTTAGAGTTCTCCAGGGAGACAAATCCAGTAGGGTATGTGTGTGTGTGTGTGTATTTTCTGTACATATGGAAGAAAAAGGAAGAAATTTATTTTAAGGAATTAACTCATGTGATCACAGAGACTGACAAGTTCTAAATCTGCAGGGCGGGCCAGCGGGTGGGATGCTGAGGGAGGGGTTGATGTTGCCAATGTGTCTACAGGCAGAATTGTCTCTGCCCGGGGGAACCCCACTTCTCTTAAAAAAACCTTCAACTGATTAGACGAGGCCCACCCACATCACAGACAGCTGGATTAAAGCCCACAAAATTTTTTTTTTTTTATTTTGATGGAATCTTGCACTGTCACCCAGGCTGGAGTACAATGGTGCAATCTCAGCCCACTGCAATCTCCGCCTTCTGGGCTCAAGCAATTCTCCTGCCTCAGCCTCCCAAGTAGCTGGGATTACAGGCACGTGCCATCATTCCCAGCTCTTTTTTTTGTATTTTTTTTTTTTTTTTGAGACGGAGTTTCACTCATGTTACCCAGGCTGGAGTGCAATGGCGCAATCTCGGCTCACCGCAATCTCCGCCTCCTGGGTTCAGGCAATTCTCCTGCCTCAGCCTCCTGAGTAGCTGGGATTACAGGCACGCGCCACCATGCCCAGCTAATTTTTTGCATTTTTAGTAGAGACGGGGTTTCACCATGTTGACCAGGATGGTCTCGATCTCTTGACCTCGTGATCCACCCGCCTCGGCCTCCCAAAGTGCTGGGATTACAGGCTTGAGCCACTGAGCCCGGCCTTTTTTTTTTGTATTTTTAGTAGAGATGGGGTTTCACCGTGTTAGCCAGACGGTCTCGATCTCCTGACCTCGTGATCCGCCCACCTTGGCCTCCCTAAGTGCTGGGATTACAGGCGTGAGCCACCGTGCCAGGCCAGCCTCTGACATTTCTAGTTATAGCCCCAGGCAGGGCTGAAACCCAGAAACAGTGGGCCCGTTTCTGCCCTTCTGTGGACAGGGAAACTTACAGGATGTGTCTTCCACCGGGCTGCCAAGCAGCTCCACCCCCGTCTCTTCTGGGAGCGGCCTGTGGACCCATCCAGGAATGGACATCAGTCACCAGGCACCGGAGATTCAGCCAGAGGAGCGTGGAGTGACCCAGACAGGTCCGGCCAGGCCAGTCAGTCAAGACAGTAACAAAAGGAAAACACATTTAGTTCTGGAGAATCACTGGACCCACATGTATACATATTTTTTTGAGACAGGACTTAAGTCTGTCATCCAGGCTGGAGTGCAGTGTTGTGATCAGGTAATCCCTCCACCTCCTGGACTCAAGAGATCCTCCTGCCTCAGCCTCCTGGGTTGCTGGGACTACAGGCGCGCACCACCAGGGCTGGCTAATTTTTGTAGTTTTTTGTAGAGATGGGGTCTTGCTATGTTGCCCTGGCTGCTCTTGAACTCCTGGGGTCACACCGTCTCCCCACCTTGGCCTCCCAACGTGCTGGGATTACAGGCGTGAGCCACCACACTCAGTATGTTTTTTCTTTTCTTTTTTTTTTTTTTGAGATGGAGTCTCGCTCTTGTCACCAGGCTGGAGTGCAATGGTGCGATGTCGGCTCACTGGAACCTCCGCCTCCTGGGTTCAAACGATTCTCCTGCCTCAGCCTCCCAAGTAGCTGGGATTACAGGCGCACGCCACCACACCCGGCTAATTTTAGTAGAGACGGGGTTTCACCATGTTGGCCAGGCTGGTCTTGAACTCCTGAGCTCATGCAATCCGCCTGCCTCGGCCTCCCAAAGTGCTAGGATTACAGGTGTGAGCCACCGAGCCCCGCCTGTTTTTTCTTTAACAGAGGAAAGAAATCAGAATGCATCAGGGCTCAAGGGCTCCTTTTAGAGCATCAAATTAATATTAAGCCTTGTGGGGATTTTTGGATGTCTTGGTAAGAATGAAGGCTTTCCCCAGCATCATGTGACTTCAGAAACTTTGGAACATGTTAGTAAATTGAATTCTCCCTAGGGCGACCCTGCAGAATTTGATCTCTGATGAGTTTTTGACTCTTAAATGCAGCAAGAAGTATTAAAAAAAAATTAAAAATTAAATAAATAAATAGACTGGGCGTGGTGGCTCACGTCTATAATCCCAGCATTTTGGGAGGCTGAGGTGGGCGGTTCATGAGGTCAGGAGTTCGAGACCAGCCTGGCCAACATGGCGAAACCCCATCTCTACTAAAAATACAAAAATTAGCTGGGTGTGGTGGTGAGCACCTGTAATCCCAGCTACACAGGAGGCTGAGGCAGGGGAATCGCTTGAACCTGGGGGCGGAGGCTGCAGTGAGCCGAGACTGTGCCGTTGCACTCCAGCCTGGGCAACAGAGCAAGACTCTATCTCAAATAAAACAAAATAAAAAAAACAAAAAATTAAATAGCCTGAGTCAACCAGAAGAGATCTCTACGTTAATGCTGGAACAGTTTGTGCAACCAAATAAATAAGGAAATATTGAATTATAACCCAAGATACAAAATACATGTCTATGACTCTATATGGATATAAGTAAGGCATTGAACAAACAGGAGAGAAGAGACACATTTTTTTGTGCAGAAGAATTGCAAATAATTTATGTACGTATCTCCCCTCAAGGAAAAGAAGGATAACTGGGTAACTCTCTGTAGGCTGTGTGTAGTGATGTCATTCTAAAAATAGAGGACGGGCGGGACGTGGTGGCTCCCGCCTGTAATCCCAGTGCTTTGGGAGGTCAGGGTGGGCGGATCACTTGAGCCCAGGAGTTCCAGAGCAGGCTGGCCAACATAACGAAACCCCGTCTCAACTAAAAATACAAAAATTAGCCAGGCGTGGTGGTGCACGCCTATAAACCCAGCTGCACTCGGGAGGCTGAGGCAGGAGAATCACTTGAACCCGGAGGCGGAGGTTGCAGTGAGCCGAGATCACACCACTGCATTCCAGCCTGGGCGGCAGAGCGAGACTCCCTCTCAAAATAAGTAAATAAATAAATAAAAAGGGAGAAAAGAAAAGAGGACATTAGGAAAAACTAGGAAAATCTAAAACAGGGTGGACTTTGTTAACTCATAATGTATCAAAATTGATTCATTAACGGTGACATATAAAATAGACACAGCTAATATCAGATGTTAATTTTGGGACAAATCAGGGACGGAGTCTACAGGAATTCTCTATGATCTTTTCCTTTTCTTTTTTTTTCTTTTTTTGAGACAGAGCCTCACTCTGCTACCCGGGCTGGAGTGCAGTGGCGCCATCTAGGCTCACGGCAACCTCCGCCTCCCAGGTTCAAGTGATTCTCATGTCTCAGCCTCCCGAGTAGCTGGGACTACAGGCATGCACCACAAAGCCTGGCTAATTTTCATATTTTTAGTAGATGGGGTTTTGCCGTGTTGGCCAGACTTGTCTCGGACTCCCGGCCTCATGTGATCCACCCTCCTCAGCGTCCCAAAGTGCTGGGATTACAGGTGAGAGCCACCGCCCTGAGCCCCAGACCACTTCTTGAAGCCACAGCCCGTGCTGCCCAAGTTTGATCCAGGTGTTCTGTGCCCTTGGCTGCCCGAGGAAATATTCCATTCCGGGCAGAACGTTTTGCATGGGGCTGCCAGAGGTCGTAGCGGCAGGGCGTGCTGACTCACGAATGCCTGGCTACCGCTTAATTCATCTGTGTAGTGCAGCACTCCTGGCTCAGCTGCCAGGCAAGCTGTTTAGACAGGAAGGGTGGTGGAGTGCATGTTCCTTTCCTTTAAAAAAATGATTTATTGGCCGGGTGCCGTAGCTCAGGCCTGTAATCCCAGCACTTTGGGAGGCCTAGGCAGGCAAATCACCTGAGGTCAGGAGTTCGATACCAGCCTGCTTAATGTGGCGAAACCCCCATCTCTACCAAAAATACAAAAATTAGCCGGGCGTGGTGGTGCATGTCTGTAGCCCCAGCTACTCGGGAGGCTGAGGCAGAAGAATTGCTTGAACCTGGGAGGTGGAGGTTGCTGTGAGCCGAGACTGAGCCATTGCACTCCAGCCTGGGCAACAGCGCCAGACTCCATCTCAAAAAAGTAAATTAGAAAGGTCTAGATATCTATGATTTCTTGAATCAGAAGACCTCTCCTTCCAAACTGATACCGATCAGCAGGAAGTATCTTCTGATGCCCTCCTGGGTGTTAGAATTTCCCTCTAGCTCCTTCTTTGCCTACCCAGCACCCATTGGCATCTGAGTCTACGATTCCTGCTGTTGTAGAATCTTCTAGAATCATAACTTACACCATGGACAGAGTATCCACCGTGTGCCAGGCATGGCACTGGGATGTTCACAGCATAATCCTACTTAGTTCTCACAGGAGCCCTTTGAGGCAGGTAGAAGCCCATTTCACAGAGGAGGAAATAGGCTGGGCTGGCGGCCCCTGCCCAAGGTGGCAGAGCTGAGAGATTCCATCCATGCCAGCCTATGCCAGCCTGGGGTGGTTGGTCACTGCCCTCTACTGCCCCCTTGTGCCCAGTTGGACACACGCACAAACCCCTGTGGGAACTTTTTAAAAAAAGGCACAGTGGCTCATGCCTGTAACCCCAGCACTTTGGGACGCCGGGGTGGGCAGATCACCTGAGGTCAGGAGTTCAAGACCAGCCTGGCCAACATGGTGAAGCCCCATCTTTACTAAAAATACAAAAATTAGCCAGGCATGGTGGCGGGCGCCTGTAGTCCCAGCTACTCGGGAGACTGAGGCAGGAGAATCGCTTGAACCTGGGAGGTGGAGGTTGCGGTGAGCTGAGATTGTGCGACTGCACTCCAGCCTGGGCGACGGAGCAAGACACCATCTCAAAACGAGAAAAAGTAAAATGGGAAGAGCTCCCGTACCTACTTTTCATTCATTTATCAAATATAGCCACATGCCACGTAGCAACGAGGCTCGGTTCTGAGAGATGGCTCCTTAGGTGATTTTGTTGTGCGAACATCTTAGAATGTACATACACATATTTACGTGGCATAGCTCACTCTACACCTAGGCGGAACGGTATATCTGTACCCTAGTGTTTCTAGGCTACAAACCTGCCCAACACGAGACTGTACCGATCCCTGTAGGCGACTGTAACACAATGATATTTGTGTGTCTATGTATATCTAAACATAGAAAAGGAACAGTAAAAATATGGTATAAAAGGTAAAAAAAACATGCCACTGGGCGCGGTAGCTCACGTCTGTCATCCCAGCACCTTGGGAGGCTGCGGTGCGCGGATCACCTGACGTCAGGGGTTTGACACCAGCCTGGCCAACATGGCAAAACCCCGTCTCTACTAAAAATACAAAAACTGGCTGGGCATGGTGGTGCGTGTATGTAACCTCAGCTACTCAGGAGGCTGAGGCAGGAGAATCACTTAAACTCAGGAGGCACAGGTTGCAGTGAGCTGAGGTCGCGCCATGGCACTCCAGCCTGGGCAACAGAGCGAGACTCCATCTCAAAAACGAAACCAAAACTGCAGTGTCAGCTCTTACCTGACACTTGCCAGCCTGCCCTGTGGATTTTGGACTTGGTGGTTCCCAGGATTGTGCAAGCCAATTCCTGGCACAAAACCATGTACGTAAAGGAAGACAGTAAACAAATAAGTGAGGAAGGCAGATGGTGATGCCTGCGGCAAAGAAAATGAATGAAATAAAGGCGAGGAGGAGACAATTCACTGGGGTGGTCAGGGAAGGCTTCATTGAGGAGGCAGCTTTTTTTTTTTTTTTTTTTTTTTGCGAGAGGGTCTTGTTCTGTTGTCCAGCCTGGAGCGCAGTGGTACACTCATAGCTCACTATAGCCTCAAATGCCTGGACTCAGGGATCCTCCTGTCTCAGCCGTCTGAGTAGCTGGACCCTTGGCGCGCACCACCACACTTGGCTAATTTTAAAATTTGTTGTAGAAATAGGGTTTCACTATGGTGACTAGGCTGGTCTTGAACTTCAAGCTTCAAGCAGTTCTCCCGCCTCAGCCTCCCAAAGTGCTGGGATTATAGGCGTGAGCCACTGTGCCTGTCTGGAAGTGACTTTTTTTTTTTGAGACAGAGTGTCACTCTGTCACCCAGGCTGGAGTGCAGTG